CCTGCTCTAGGACCACAGTGGAGAAAATACTCTTTTCAGTGTCCCTTAAAACGACCACGCAGCCTCTCCAATTGCTTCGTGTGTTTGTATGCCCATGCAAGCTCACTCCCTTGGCTGCACCTTTTGCTAGTAGTGGCGGAGCAGTTGGGAAACTCTCATGAGGCTTTGATGCAGGGCATCAGGGCATCTGTGGCTCAGAGCAGTAGTAGTTTGGGACAAACTGGAGCAAGGAGTTACAGCACATGGTGACAGGGGAAAAGTGAATTCAAAAAAGGAGCTTTCAAATTTGGGACTCTGTTTAAGTTTTGTGAGCTTTGCCAGCATTTGGCTGGTAGGCTGGAGCTGCGTTGCTGCTCCTGCTTTCTTTTGTTGGACAGGCTGACAGAAGAGATAACAGAAGAAACAATGTTTATATACAGTATATATATATGAATGTATGACTTGAAGATGTGTGAGGAAGGCATGCTTCGGGGGGAGGAGTACCTGGGGTCAATTTTTGGAAAGAGTCCTTCATCTTAGAGCAACTGCTGTACTTAAAATTTCTCTCTTTTCCTGTCCAGAGGATGTGGCCTCTGCAAACCCTCTACATATACACACTGGCTGCACCCCACTTTGCCCTGGCAAAGAACAGAAAGTCCTTCCTTGCCAAGGAGAAAAGTGTGGAGCAGACTGCACCCCTCTCTGCCCCAGCAAAAAAGGAATTCAGAGTCCTCCTTCACAGGAGAGAACCTTCTCCCTTTGCACCCACATACCTTGGGAGCAGAGAAAGAGCCACTGGCTGAGCAGTGACTGAGAAGCCTCTTGACCAAATTGGCCTTGAGGCAAAGGCCAGCATGGCTGAGAGGCTTCTTGGTTGCTGTTGAACCAGCTGCTCAGTTGCTGCTCCCAAGGTGACTAGATGCAAAGGCAGCAGCAACCAAGATAGGTTGTTTTGAATTTGCAGTAACAGCAGACCTAATATCAAGAAGTAGATATGGGGGTGGTGATGCTAGGGTTGTCAGCCAAAAGGAAAGGTGGTGGTAGCCCAAAAATGTTTGGGGACCACTGCCCTACAGCTTATGTCAAAACAGATGTGTTAAATCTTCCATGTGCCAAAAGACCCTTTATTTTTGCTGCAACAATTAAGACTTCTGGAAGTTGTTCAAGTGGAAACGAATACATCAGGTTAACTGCACACCAAAAATTAAGCTAGCGCAGAAGCACTTAAGTATAAAGGAAATCCTCTTCTACTCAGGTACTGTTCACTGGAACTTCAACACACTACTTTCTCAGCATAAGCACAGAATGTAAAACCTTATGTCTTTCTTCGTCACTCTAATTCCTCATTAAATTCCAGCAGCTATGGGCTGGCTTCAGTGCAGCCAGTAAGTACCAAAGGAAAGCAAATTAAGAAATTAGTCAAGAAATATCCGCCATTTGATACAGCATGCCTTAACGATAAGTGTCAGAGTTGATGTAGCATAGTAGTTAAGAGAGAGCCAAGTTTACGAAACAAACATACCACATAAAAAAGGAACTCAAATTCTGTTTTGCAACCAACCTCTTTAGAGAACAACAACTACCACAGAGAGAAAAATCAATTTTCATTTGAGAAGTGCAAATACTCATGCTTTTTAACAGATCCATGATATGTTGTCTGAATTTTTTTTTATCTTTGGTTAAGTGTATAAAACAGACTGGGAATTATTTTCCACTTTAGACATTGCTGAATCAGAACTCCTAGTATACTTCACCATTGTCTATACTGACTAGGACTGCTGGGACTCGCAATCCAACCATGTCATTAGTGTCCTATAAAATGAGCATTACCATGTCAGCCTTTCTTCAAATGCTAATACCTCAACCAAGTCTGATTTCAACTCTGGTACAGAGGTTTTGGAGCCAGTGTGGCACAGTGGTTTGAGCTATACCTAGCTGGATTATAACTCTGGAGACCAGGGTTTGAATCCCTGCTCAGCCATGGAAACTCACAGGTGAGCTTAGGCAAGTCATACTCTCACAGGTTCAGAGGGAGGCAAAGGCAACCCTCCCAACAAATCTTACCAAGAAACTGTGATATATTTGTCTTAGGGTGGCTTTAAGTCAGAAATAACTTGCAGGCACAAAACAACAACACAGATACTCTACAGATTTAGTACAGTATGCTAGAAAAGGAAAAGGCACATACAAATTTTCAGTGGCTTTAATTATTTCACACAAAGCAGCAAGCTCTCTCTCTCTCTCTCTCTGCCAGAGGGAGAATTCTTCACCCTTTCACCCAATATGGCAGGAGCTTGGGAAACACGCCCAGCCTAAAAGGATGAGTGCCAATCTGATATGTTCCCTCCTAAGATGGTTTGCTGATGGGAAAGCACTGAGAATGAATCTCTTTCTCCTTCCAAAATCACTGTCCATCAACTGAAAATACACATCCTCTCACTCTCTTAGATGTGCTGTGCTTGCTTACTGATGTTCCAATACCGGGCTTGCACTGATGATGCTCAAGACAGATTTCTTCAGAAAGAAAGAATTGAAGTCAGACAACTTACAACGATGGGGGGGGGGGTGTCCTATGTTAAGTATAGTTACTAACACAAATAAAGACAATTGTGAGTTGCAACTTACGTCTTGATTCTAGGGAGGGGGAATCCTTCCTCCAGCAAGATCATTTTTCCCCCTTGCTGCCTGCCACTGTCAGTTACTGGTGGGGGTGGCTTGCTTGCTTGCTTGCTTACACACACACACACACACTGATGAATAGATATGTTTCAGCAGTGACATGTTTCTAGCAAATCAGAGAAGTTGTAGGGAATAGTGAGCATCCAGGGCTTGTAGACAGCCAACAACTGCCCTCTTAGGAACTTATCCGTTTAAGAGCTCCATCAGGCCTTGAAGGGTATTCAGGCCTCTGGGCACAGGTTCAACAGAAGAGAAGGTGGCAAGAACAGGGCTTTTTCTTTTACAGTTCTCCAAAGCCTTCCTCTGTTAGTACGCACAGGACCAGAGGTCATAAGTACATTATACCTTTATGCTGGGGATCATGGAGAGTGAGAAGCAAAAAAAGTGCTTCATTTTCTTTCTTTCTAATACATCCTTGTATAGCCCAGGATGTGGTGCGTTAAGCTCACAGCACATAACGCCTTGATCCTAATCCTGTCGCCCATAATAGATATTATAAATGTTTGGGGCTTAAGCAACGCATTTACTTCACCACTAGTACCTCAACTGACACATTAAGATTTTACACATCCTGGAAAATCAGGCTGTTTTTGTTGTCAGAAAAAAATTCTTTTAGTCTATCAATATAAAAATGTTTGTATACTTGGGAAGGCTAAGTACTGTAGCACTATATTATTTTAGTGTAATCTGCTCGACTGATACCATATTTGACTATCCAAATCTAACTTTAAAGAGAATGACTACTGGCCAATCCAGTCTTTCATATGAAAATAGGGGAAGATAGCTTATACTTGATTTTATAACATCTAGAACCCATTGCTCTTCATAATATCCAAGAATGCCTTAGTTATTTTCCCGCCTCACGGCCCCCCCCCAAAAAATCTTTAGTTCAGAGGTAGGATGGACACCCGTGGTTAGACACCATTGCTCTCTTAATAGAGAACTACAGGGCAGGTTCTGCTGCTCATTGCTATCTCAGAAAACATAACAAGACAAAAGCAATGTGACTAATATTTTACATTTTACCTTAACTCTGTGTGTGTGTGTGTGTGTGTGTTCAATTTCAATTCAGTTTTCCGTCCAAACCATCAAAGATCAATGTATGGCCCACAGACCAAATGTAGTTCTCCAGGGAAGCACCCCCCCCCATTTTATTTGAAGGTCCTTTGTACCATTGAGGCATTATGAGGGGCAAGTTTGCCACATTCCCTCCCACTTCTGTCCTGTTTTAAGGGGGGGAGGTTGTTAAAAAATTGGGGAGTAAATTCTATAAGGATAAAATGCCACTCCATTTCTCAACAATTCTAAAGAGCCAAGAATCTAGTAAAACTACCCCCCTCCATAATACCTCTACTGTGCGAAGATCCTATTTATATAAAATAAACTTTTTTTGTGGAGAAGTGCCAGCAGCATCTCCCTTTAAGGCCTAGAAGGAGGCAGACCATCTAAACATAAGACTGACAACTGTCTTAAACAAATGAGTTACAGCCATATTCATGCATGTCACTTTCTCCAGTCCATTCCCAGGAGGATGAAGTTCCTAATCACAGCAAGAATGGTAACCAGGTAGTATTTAATATCTCTTCTCATAACTTCCCATTCAATGAAGCGGTGGGTTATGGGGGAGAAGGCTTTCCATTTGTGAACATTTGCAGACTGTCAGGTGAAATTTCACAACACTAAAGAATTAGCACCAAGCTGATAAATTAACTTTTAAATGGCAACAAAAATTGCCCAATGTATAGGAAAAGCAGAGAAAGAGGGAAATATCCTAGAATAACTCAGCATGCTTTTAAAAATCTAACTATTGTAGCTTAATATTTAACTGAGTGTCTCATTCATGTCCATTGATGTTTTTTAAATCACAAATTGACACTAACAGCCAGAGGTCATCAAGGATTTACCAAATGAAAGCATTATTATTTCCAATGCATCCATTTGTACGGATACTGGCAACAAACCACCCAATGATTAAACTCAAGACAGAGTCAACAATGTAAGTACAACACAAATGTGTGTTGTAATAATAACACAGTGGGCTATTGGTATCCGCTGAGGTTTGGTTCCAGAACCCCTCCCCGCCATGGATAATAAAATCTGTGGATACTCAAGTCCCATTAAATACAATGGTATAGTAAAATGGTGTCCCTTACATGAAATGGTAAAATAAAGGTTTGTTTTTTGGAATGTATACATTTTAAAAATATTTTCAAAGTGGGGATGCTTGACTCTGTGGATAAAAAAATCCAAGATTTGGAGGGCTGACTGTAATAAAATAATAATAATAATAATAATAATAATAATAATAATAATAATAATAATGGGGGGTTACAAGTTGCGTCTTCCTTTTTTGAAATGCTTGGAACCAGAAGTGTTTTGGATTCCAGATTTTGGAATATTTGCATATACAGTGGGCCCTTGGTATCCACTGGGATTTGGTTCCATGACCACTCCCTACAGTGGACAACAAAATCCATGGATGCTCAAGTCCCATTAAATACAATGGCACAATAAAATGTTGTCCCTTATATCAAATGGCAAAATCAATGTTTGGTTTTTGGAATTTATATATTTTTAAAAAACATTTTCAAGCCATGGATGGTAGAATTTGTGAATAATGAATATGGCTATGGAGGAATGGCTGTACATAATGAGATATCTTGCCTACAAGACCCCAGTGAAAACATGAAATGCATTTATACCTTGTATAGACTTATACATATAGTGTGAAGGTAACTTTATACTTAATGTTTTAAATAATTTTGTGCATGAAACAAAATTTTAATACACTGAACCATCAGAAAGTCACTATCTCAGTCACCCATGTGAATAATTTTTAATTATTTGGATTTCAAAATTCTGGATAAGGGAGACTCAAACTATATATGGTCTGAGATCATCACAGATTGTAATAGTCTCATATTCTTTCCTTTTGGAACAGAAGTGAGTAAAGATCAAATTGCTTGCCTTCAATGTTTTACCTGTATTCAAATCTCAGCTATTCTCTAACTATAGAAAAATACTGTGACATTAATCACATAATTTGTGTGGTCTCTGTAACCTGCCACCGTCAACAGTCTGGGTACAGCTCTTTGGACAAGCTAAAGTTTCCAAACACTCTTCAAAGGCAGCCCCAAGTACAGCGTGTTATAGTAG